TATATGTGAGAAGAGACTGTTTTAAAATTTTCAGCTGAAAGCTCTTAATTAATGTACGTTATTTATAACATACGTTATTTATAATATTTTGTCCTGTATCAGTTTAATAGGCTCACATTAGATATACATGTAGCATGCCGACATATCTCGCGAAACGTGATAGACGCTACAACGGATTCTTTAACCGAATGACAGACTTTTTCGGATATAATTTGGATATAATTTGGATATTCGAATATAATTCTCATATAATAAATGAAAAATTCTAAAATTTAAAAAGTCATTTGCTTTTAATAAACAAATTTTTATATAGATTGAAATTTTACACAAGATTTGATTTATTATGCTTGTTAAAAAACAAGAAATTTGTATAAGAAAACTTGATATCAAAACAAATTCTGCATTTATAACATGCGATTACAAAATATTAATGCAACAAAAGGAAAAGCCTTTTTCAAATGACGCGTCTATCGAAAAAAAATTTAACAACCCTTCTATTTAAACGTAGAAATCGCAATTTTTTTCCAATGTGCGTTCGTTTCTCGAATAGAACGATGCATGCTCTAAATGACGACCAATCCGGCAAATAGAGACGAATCGAATTGAATTTGCGATTCGGTCGCGATCGCGTAATGATCAGGGTGGTAATCGAAAACGCGCTCCGAGTCGAATTAAAGCTCTCCGTTGAGAGTGAGAAAGCTGAAGAGGAAAGACAGAGACCCACGCAAAGGGTGGATGGGCGGGAAAGGGAGAGCTCTATCGATCAATCAGCCATAAGTAATGCGGAGCTTTTGATGGCTTACCGTTTCATTGCGGACGGAAAGAGCCGACCGGCATGCTATATCACGTGGGACGCAACTTAGACGCGCATTAAATGTCAATGCCTAATGACGATAATTGTTGATCGATGGGTGCACTCAACGGATTGTTTTGGAGATGATACTCGTGATATATACATTATTTCGTTGAATGTATGATCATCACTAACGTTCATTAAGCAGACATATTGTCCTTTATCTGTATTGCAACATAAAGAATTTATTTTTCATATTAATGTTAATGAGATATTTTGTCGTTACTAGATTTACGTGTAATCTGAAAAAGACTGATATGTAACACATAAAACGATGAAAGAGATTGATATCGGTTTTTATAAAAAGTACACGAGTTTCTTCTGTTCAAAAACAACACAGTTAAATATAGTAGAATATAATTATATTTTGCACGAATATTGTATGTTAAAAGTATTTTATGACAGACTGACCGTAACTGGGACATTTGTATTTATTCTTCGATTACTGCTACGTTATCGAGCTACGATATCATACGAAATTCCACGCATTTGCATTGCAAATAAGAGAACAAAGTCATTTTCCATGTTCGCGAGCTATAAAAAAAACTAATAATTAAACAAATTCATATTATACTGACATTACGTGGTCCGTGAGCTGTGCTTTATTTTGATTTATCTCGAATAACCATTGCACCTCAATAACAAACTGTTTGTATCGATTATTCGTTCGTTTATGTATCGGATATTGTTATTTGTTTACTTTTATCCGATTTTCAAACAATAAAATAAATCGTAAAAGAAACGATAAAAATATATCCGGATGTTGTCAAAGAAATTTCATTAAATTTCATCGACTTTAAATTAGGTAAATAATTAAAAAGTCAATATGTGCTGATGTTCCTAGCTTGTAATTTTAATTCGGATAATTCGGATAAAATTACATATATAAAAAAATATAATTACATATATAAAAAAATTCTTGGAAAATTATCTCAAAAAGGTTTCTTTTTTAAATTAAGCTTTATCCAAAAATTTCTGGCCATGTCCATCTCACACAAACGCGAACGCAAGTGGAGCGTACGGGAAACGTTGACCCAGGTCAGTTAACTCTGAGAGCTCTTTATGGCCTTTTACACATAAAACTATCGAGGGTGATCGGAAGCGTCTTTATCGCGAGCATTCTGCTCATTGAAGCTTACAACTTTTACCTTTATCATTTCTCGCCGCTCGGAGCCGGAAGCCCTTTGTCTCTTTGTCTCTCCCTCCCTTTCCCCTTGTATCTGCTCATCGATGAGGCTACGCATAAATCGTATTTTTAAAAACTGCTCCTCCCAAAAATATCTCCTCTTGTTCATCGGATTAAAATTATGCAATCTTTTTATAAACTTAATTTCTTGCATATATTTTATTCACGTATTGTTAGTAGATACGATATTAATTTATCCGATAGATTTTCTCAAATTGAATTTTAAATATAATTTTCCAAGAGATTTTAACTTTGAAAAAAAATGAAATATTAACGAATTTATTTTAAGATTTTGTGATTGACGATAAAAAAAAAGAGCAAGAAAATTGATAACAAACATTGCTTTATTCTTTGACGATGTTATCTTTAGAATAGAATAAAGAAATCTCAATGCACAGGCGATAGATCGTCACGCCGAATATTCTTTTTTGATAACGCCAGGCTCGAGGAGCGAGGATTATATCGCGCGACAGGCAAGTCGCTCGATGCTTGACGTTTCCTTCCCTCACGACCGAAGGTTTTCCCGTCCTTCAGATTCGGGGGCTGCGAAATCGATTCCTATTAAGGTGGCGTAATATTCGCCAGACACGAAAAAGAGAACGCCAGCAGTGGCCGTTTTCGCGAGAACTAGCTCCTTCGTCAGCCCCGTTTCGGCAGATGTGTGAGGACACTCGAAAAGTTTAGGTCTCATAATAAATGATCTTCGCGTTTTCCCCATCGCGCCCGAGAATATCATTAATTAACAGTAATTAACGTGCGCGCCGATCTCTCCCTCGGCGAAGTTTTCGCACGTCCCGTCAACGGTGGGAGATGAAATTCACACGCGAAACTGTTTCGACGAGCTAAATCCGAACGGTTTCTTAAACGAAACGTACATTTTTCATAACGCTAATAATGTTTTAGGTTTTGTTTGAAAAGTGAAATCTAATGCTAAGTAAATCATAATCGTTGGAAAATTATTACGCGAAAGTTTACACAAGACAGCATGCTTTCGATCAATGTCGACAACAAATAATGAGCGTGAAAGGAGTGAATGGTTCTGTTAGAGTAAATTAAACAATGAGATGGTTTCTCTGGAGAACGGCGGGATTAGACACCATCGATTAGCAATAATTCAATGTAGGATATTAATTTTCATTAAGTATCGGACTATCGAACTTTGTCATCATGTCGCTCGGGTATTATATTCTCGAAGGAGTCTGTGTCATATGGATTTTCCCTTAAGAGATCCGATATCCTCCAGGAGATAACAGTAAGTTTAAAGAGACTCGCGAGATACATACCACGCGAAAATAAGTTACAAATCACGATCCACTATTAGGAATGCATTTAACTATGCATATTTTATTTTATCTTTTTTTATCAAAATATATTTAATATTCTGTTTAATTATATAAATATTTTTGTAAATAAATATATAATAAGTGAATATTTTTTTTATTAAAATTTTAAACAAATGGTTATAATATATCTTCTTCGTAGAAAATTTCTCTGTATTTTTAAATGGATTATATTAATAATAACTGGATAATTCCTAATAATAAATGGGTTATATTAACAAAGTTTATTAAGCAAGATGCTTTCTAGTTGATTAGATTAATTTTTTAAATAATTTTCTGCTCGATGTAACAAATCTTAAATTTATTTCTTTCATTTTTTTCAAACACATCATTCACGCAATTGCAATGCGATATCGTCGATGACGTTAGAACCAACGCCACGGGTCTGTTCGGTGTCGATTCTGTCACGTCGAGAAATGTAATCGAGGAAGAAAAACAAGAAGAAAGAAAAGAGGGATGAAGGGGAAGAAAGAGAAAGGTTGTTTTACCTGGTGAACGTGACCGAGGCTGCCCGATCACGTCGTTAAGCCGATTTACGGGCGCACGTGCGAACGTTTCGCGGGCGCAATGGCACAAATAATGACGTTAAGAGGATCCGCAGAAGCCTCCTCGCACGTGGCACTCACGTGTCGTCGTATGTGAGATCTCCTCGCGCTCGTCTTCGTCTTCGAAACACTTCGCATTCTTGTTCATCAGCGACACGTTGCGTTTCGAGACCTTTTCTCTCTCTTTTGGGAATCGATGAGTCTACGTACTTCGTCGACGAATTTTTTTTACGTGTATTTATAACTGACAAGATGCAAATTCGATCTTGCTGAGAGAAGAAAATAGTGTTGGTTTAATAGTGTTAACGATTTGTGCGACGGTTTTAATTATTTTTTTTTACTTCAAGAACAGTTGTTTGCAATTCATTGTACAAATCTTTATTTCACTCGATAATATTTATTGTTCTCAAATATTTAATTCTTCAAAGTAATTATGATGTTTTGCAAAACAGTTGACATTTGCGTAAATTTTACTTATTATAAACATTTCTTTTTCTTTCATGTGCTTGATTATATAAATATTGATGAATAGTTATAATGAATCCCGATAATCAATAGATTCATCTTTAATTGATTGATGAATGTTTTTCTGAATATACATATTAATATAACGATTTAAATTCTGTCTTGTTAAGAAAATAGTGTTAACGATATGTGTGAGATGACAGTTTTGATTATTGCTTATTCTTTTTGCTCTAATGGCAAAAGCGTTGCTTACAATTTACATTTTGCATGAGTTTTTATTTCAATCGATAATACTTTTTATATCCCAAATGTGTAATTTTTTCAAGTGATTATGACGTTTGATAAAACAGTCGAGCTTTTGTGTACATTTTGGCCTACTTATTATAAATATTATACATGTTTGATTACATGAATATTGATGAATGATTAATTATAATGAATCGATAATCAACAAATTTATTCTCACACAGTTATTGAGATATACTTTCAATATTTTAGATATAATGATAGATATAAAAAAGGAAATTGAGAGAATGTAATAACACACATAATCGCTTGCAATAACATTAATTGTATATGCGAGAGTCCTTTTGAAATTATATCTGTTTCAGCTATTTGGAGATATATAACGAGAGGGTGAGGGATCTCTTACAACCGTCGACGAGCGCGAGTCGACTCCGAGTTCGAGAACATCCTCGACTAGGGCCCTACGTTCAAGGTACTTCGCTTGCGTTTACCGTGAAATGTCGAGTTACCGAGCACGTCGGCTAAAATTTCTCGAGGGTCTTCTTATTCAGTGTGTACCCAAGTCTGCGCTGTTTAAATCTTCACCGCTTATTTCTCTTCGCATGGCCGCCTTTCTTCACCCTGTAATATCTCCTCGCCTCGCTTATATTACAGTCCAATAAAATAGATACATATAGTAGTATATTAAACATTGTATCTCGAATGTCGTGTTAAATGTATCATTAATTTCGCGAGAGTAACGTTTGCAGCTTTATTAATTCCCCTTCTTTCACACAATAAATCATAAAATATTGTAAGAAAATATTATATTTATTTGTAAAATTTGATGTTTAAAATTGGTAGGATTTTATTATCTCTAGCGATTTATACTATATATAATCTTATTTTTTCATATATGTAGAAATAAATTTATCAAGCTCATTCTCTTGTTAATGTATATTTAAGTTTTCAATCGATTAAACTATTACAATTTTGTTGAATTCTTGAATAATTGAATCTTCAAACTCTAAAACGGTGAAATAATTCCTGGATCTTTGGATTTTTTAATAATGGAACCTCAAATTCTGAGATCTTTCGGTGTCTCTTAAAAAACTTCTGGAAAACTTTCCGATCTACAGTATTGTTCTCTCACTCACCATCATGATCACCGCTCCAACAATAAAACTTAATTGATACGTCGCGATAGTCCTTTTATCTAGACCTCCCCTTCCTTCACCATTCGTATCATCATCTCTTTCCTTCGTCAAACATCCTGTCTCTTCCAGGATTAACGCTCCACGTGGTCCGCGATCTGGAATCGTTGATGTCATACGTGGAGAAGGGCACGAAAGCCAGAAAGACAGCCTCGACACTTCAGAATCCCAGCAGCAGCCGTAGCCACGCTCTATTGACCGTCGATCTCACGCGGGAACAAGGCTCGGCCGATGCCGAACGTCTCTCTGACGGTGACAGCATCACGTCCTCCGGGAGACAAGACGTTACTCAGCGCGCCGGCAGCAGGTTGCACCTGGTCGATCTGGCGGGCAGCGAGAGCGCGGCCACCTGCGGCGGCGTTCATCGACTGAAGGTGAGTCATTCCCTAAAAATAATATCCTTCGTCGGAATGATATATTCGCCGGCTGAATTTCGCGCGATGAAAATCGATATTCGCGCGGGTCGAATGGACGGATGGAGCTTCGTCGAGTTATCAATCTCCTTCTGGCCGCCATCGCGGTTAATCGAGTCGGCGGAGAGTTTTACTCGCGGAAATATTAACGTAAAACATGCGTGAAGAAGTGCCGCGTTAATTTATCGCGTTATTGAAATGTTCCTATTTCTACGTCTCGACGAGGCAAGATACATATATGCTTCGATCTATCGACATATCAGTGTTTTAATGTTAATAATTCTCATTTTCAGCCGTAAATAAAATATAAGTCATAAAAATAGTATAAAAATATATTTTTAATATCGAGATTTAATACGTTAAAGGATAATATATGAGAGATTTTATCAGGATAAATTAGATATATTTGTGCTCTCTAATCAATGTGCAATGTGCAGTTTGATTCTTTGGTTGAGTGTTTATGTTAATGTGTGACTATGCCTTCTAAGGTACAAAAAGAATCATCAAGACGTCGCGAAAAATCGAGAATCATCGCTTGTGGTATTTCACGTGTGAAAGTATGTTTCTGTTAAGTGAAAAGTCATGCATTAAACAGAAATTTATATGAATAAACAATTGCCTTTTTTTGTTTCACTCTGATGTTATCGATCCAGAACGATATATAATCTGATTTAACAATAATTTTCAATAATAATTTAATTATAAAATCAAATATTTATTGAAATTATTTTTGTAAATTCCTTTCGATTTAGTTTATTTTTGTAAATTTGAGACAAATGTATATTCTTAAAGTTTGAAATGAGATAAATTCTTTTATTGTTAATTTCAATCCTGACATTTTGACGTTATCGTCTTCTTGCTATCATTTATAGGAAGGCGCGAATATCAACAAGAGCCTCGTGGCCTTGGGAAACGTCATATCCGCACTTGTTGAGAGAGGCTCGACAGGAAGTGGGACAAGCAAACGATACATCCCTTATAGGGATTCCTCTCTCACTTGGTTGTTGAAAGATGCACTCGGAGGAAATGCCACCACCGTCATGCTTGCCAGTAAGTGTATGTCAGTCTTTCTTTCTTTTGATCTTTCCCCCTTACATATGTATTGTATATATATCGTTCTCTTTAAATTCGAATTCTCTTCCCGTTTTTCTTTACAACTCTCGCGATCTTAAAACGTTCCATTGACGTTAAAAGATTTCCTTCCGGGAATATTCTGCCCGCGTAAATCGCGTTTCGCCGTGTGTATTTTTGCGAGGAAATTATAAGCTCGCTTTTCCCTCCTTTTGATCTCGAACCCTCCATTTTAATATCCTTTCTGTTGCCGCACCCTGTTCTCTCGCGCATAGATTGAAATCCAACGACTGATTCGACGATTGCTTAATTGATCCTTTTAATGCGAGTCTCTTGTCAGCCAACGTGTACTAAAAGAGTCAATTACGATAGGCTATTGCCAATTTATTAATTTATTTCGTGTTCTTCCATCTTTGATTCCACGAGTTTGCCTCGTTAAGAAAAAATTATTCGGATCGGCTCGAAAGCAATTTTTAGCCGTTGAATCACAACGAAAAGCCACACAGCTATTTCTATCGCTCTCTTCTCCAAGCTTCGTCTTTTCTTAAATTCCGTCAATTATTAAGAAAGAAATCTGCGCCAGATTCGTGAAATTATTCCCATCCACGACAAAACCAAGGTTGAATATAATTGGTTTAAATGCTTTTCCAGGCGAGCTAAGACGCGGAGATTAAATTTCGATAGAAACGAGCGTAGTGACGCGAGAAATAAGAAGCGGTAAATAAGAAGTTTGTAGTGGGCTTGCGACAGTAGCAACACATAATCGATGCCACTATCTAGCGCCAATATTTTTCTCGTAGCGTATATCGATTGCGCGTTGAACATAATTTATATAACACTTTTCATTATAATGTAACTTGAAAATGAATATTTCTCACTACTGATAATGACAATAATATCAGTTAATTTAATAAAGAATTACTAAGAATTCTAATATCGATAAATCGAACTGATATGAACACAAAAGATTCTTGTTAGCAATTATTTTCGTATACAATGTTTTTCAAGTCATTATTATGGTTTATTAAATATTTAAACACATTGGAGAATAATAATTTAAATAATGCACCAAAATAAAAGTTCATTTTTAGACGAATGTTATTTAGGTTAATGCATTTTTAATAATAGTTAAGACTTGAGATCTGTAGAGAGCATGCTAGAAAAATATTTAGGAACTCCGTCTCTCTGATCTAGAGAATAAACTTTGTGACAGATTAATCTTTCACAATAGCATTACCTTGGTAAGATTTCTTTCCAAGAGGTATTTGAATCCGATTGTCTTTATGACAGTTTCTACTAGTTGGAGAAATAAATGTCGGTCCATTCGCGAATTGGACAAAGTTTTAAAAGAATCATCATCGTCGCTATTTTACCAGGGAGATACTATTTTTCCGTAGAAAATTCTATTAATAGTTAGATAAAGCACATAGGGAAAATTGCGTCACACATAGTAATATTTTTATCTCTACGAGTAAAAAATGTTATTTTTTTTCAATTAAAACTAAAAGGAATTAGGATTTAAAATAGTGTAATAAAATAATGTTAACACATGATATAATTCAGTGGCTATCTATGTCGAATATGAATATAAATTATTAAACTTTTAAATATTTCTATATAATCCGTTTGGATTGAAACTGTGATACAATAACGTGTAATGAAAATATGATTTTTAAACGATGTATTACATTCGAAAAACCTTTCGAATTAATCTGGAATAAAAAGCGTGAAATTTATATTATCCGTGTCATCGTTTATTTTGACTCGTTTATATCACCGTGATATTTTTCCCTTCTATCGCTTCGGGATAAACCGTAAACGAAATTGACGTAATTGAGCTCGCGACGTAGAGAGACGTTAATCGAGAGAAGGCGCGTCTTCCCTCTTTTGACTCATCACAATTAATTGCCGAAATGGAAGAGTCGATCCGCCGCGATCCGTATAATTGGCCGGGAAACACACAGCGCTGTTTTGTGCGAATACTTCTAGCCGGATCCAGCGACATGTATAATTAATCGTAGCGGAATATTCCGCGAACCGCTGATTATCGGCAATTAATTGAATTGCTAATAGCATTTCGGCTTATTATTGGGGAGACGTTTAATATTCAGCGGGCCCACGTTTGTATATGTGTATAATATTGTGTTATCTCACAGACACCGTATACACGTCGATTTCACTATACGATGTCTGAAAAAGAGAGACCGTTCGCTCAAAATTCATTTCTCGGCGAAGAGGCATGAGAGTTATTTTCGTTTGTCTGGTCCATGTGTGGAGAGCATCGTTCCATACATTCTCTTTCCCGATTATTCAAGATCTCATTAGCTTTGAATCATAGTCTAAAATATATCTATTCTTTCAATTTAATGTTTTTATTTTAATTTATCTAATAATAAATTTTGTGCGTCATTTATCTTATCGAAAAGAGACATACTTTTTGCATGAATATACACTTGATGTCGCCCTTTCACATGTTGGTTCTATTCGTGATTTGGGCATTTTATTTAGTTTGGATTTATCTTTTGACAAGTATATATAATTAATTTCAAATTATGCCTATAAAAACTGGATTTTTGCTCATGTAAATATTTTAAATATATGTTAATACCTTTTTTAAAATATATTATTACATTGTTTACTTGTCATATTCTATCAGACTTATCAATAACTAGAATATGCTTCAATTGTTTAGTCCCAAAATAATTTTAAATGTCATATAAATTAAATCATATTAATTGAGCAAACAACATCGTTTTCTTAGTAAAATTACTTTCTACTTTGATAAATTTATGAGTTCTCTCTCTCTCTCTCTCTCTCTCTCTCTCTCTCGGATCATAATTATGTTTATTTATTTATGATCACTTATTTATTAAATAATCTTAAGCTTTTAATTTTAGCTAAAAGAAAGACTCAATGATATATTATTTCTTGTTGTTAAATAATTTTATTTCCTGCATTATTAAAAAAGACAAAATTTCATATTCCAATTAGATCATTTAAAAATAAAAGACTGTTTCAAGATCTTCATTATTATTCACATGGTAAATTTAAACCACTGAATCGATTATACTTACTCGGTAAACTTTCTGATCGAATTGATTTCTTTTGCACGTGTCTTGTTATCTTTAAATATACCTTAATCAATCTGTTATTTAGATCTCGTTATGAATCTATAATTCTAGTTTGTATAATTTTTTTATATTCATGCATTCTTTTATATCATTTTCTTTACTAAAAAGATTTGTTTCCAAAATAAATAAATAAATAAATAAAGTTAATTCGATAAACACAACGTGCGAGAATTCAAGCTCGCTCGTTTCATTGAGAGTATCTGACAATAGACTTATGAAAGAAAAGAGTTCTTTATTCAGAGACCAAGTAAAATTGAAAATTGAAAATTGAAAATTTTATATATATCGAGAAAATGCACGTGAGACGTTTAGTGAATGGAAAATCGTTCGCACGATTTCGTAGTCTTCGAATAAGCAAGCAGTATTTTGAGACATTTTGCGACAGTAGATCCTCTTGAGTAGATACTATCATTAAGCAATCCTTTAGTATCGATTCTCTTAAGCGCTGCTATAATCAATTATACTTATAGAATGCAAACTTATCGCAGCCACTAATATCAACCAGAAAATCGCACTGATTGAATAGTCATAGTTGGAACGTACAACATTTTTGTCATGTATTTCTAACGTTGATTATTGACAAGTTTATGTCTTCTCCAGCAATATCTCCGGCCAGCGGAAGTTACAACGAAACTGCTCATACCTTACGATTTGCGCAAAGGGCGCAGAGCGTGGTCAATCGACCGGTGGTCAACGAGGATCCCGTGGAGAGGCTCATCCGTGAATTAAGGGCCGAGGTAGCCAGATTAAAATCTTTGTTACTGCAAAAGGTAAGAAATTTCAGATTCATTTTACTCGATTTGCGGAAATTACGCGAGAAAATATAATTGAGTTTAGCAATTCAAATACGAAAGCCTGTAAATTGAGAAATACGCAAACGTTGTCCAATAAGGAATCTAAAGAAAAATTACCTTAATTATGCTTAAATGAAGGAGAGAAGAAAATAATTTCTAACTGAATATAAAATTTTAGCGATATGATAATTCTAATATGAATTTCAGAGAAACAAAGAGAGAAAAAGATGTATTATTTGCGCATTACATTACACATTGATTTCTCGATTTTTCGCACCTTTTTACATGCAGAAATATTATTTCAATCGAAGGAAAATTAATATCGTTTTCTCGTTTTGTTTTTAACGCGACCGGAATGAAAAATTCGCGCTCAGCAGAAGCGAGACTGAAAACACGAAAGGATTTAATCCCCGGCCTGATGTTGATCGAGCGACTTTATAACAACGGCTGTAGATTCGCATGCTGCCGGCGCAAAATATTAATGAGTTTCAAGCGGCGTGCGATCGGTAATAGCGCGGCATTATAAAACAAATTTCGCAATTTCGCTCGACGTGGAGCGCGCGGATCCGCGATAAATAGCGGCCGATTTTTCAGTCGCGTTTTAGCTCGCGTGCGAAGGGGGGTAGAGGAAGGGGAGGATGGGGGAGTTTATTATCGGGGTTTACCAATACGAGCGGCGCCGCGCGATATTGTCCGATGTCATTACGCAAATGAGATTCATTGATCGTTTATTTGACACTTATTGAGCGCCCGTTGCGAGCGATCGGCCGAACGATTGCTGATAAAATACAGCACGCCCATGTGTTACGCTTTAACGAGGTATCCGCGTTTCCATTTCTATCAGGCAGACGCTATTCTTCATTTCCGCGCGTCGCATAATTGTCGATTAATTAAATTTCTCATACTTCATTCGCAATTGCAATTCCGTCGACGCTCTCTTTTCTAAAGCCTTCATATTTCATTTCAAATTCGATATGTTATATTGTTGTATACACGTAATAATATTTTTAATAGTGTATCATAATGATATATGTATACATGTTACAAGAGCAGAAAATAGAAAACTAAAAATTGTCACTAATTCAAGGCATTCTGACTTAAGTATCAATTTATTGTTTTCTAATAGACAGAAAAGTTATATTATTATAGCAATTTTAACTTAATTAATAATTAATAAAACATAATTAATAAATAATAAAAATATTTTAATACAATAAAAATTATAGAAAAATATTTTAATGTAATAAAAATTATATAGAAGAGGAAAATCTCTTCTCTCTCCTTTCCTCTTTTTTCTGATTAAATAATTTATAGAGAAAGCATCGATAAAAATTTAAGACACCAATATACATATAATAGTTTGGACAGAAATTTTATTGCGCGAATACGTTATATTTGCTTTCAGTTAAAATTAAAATAATATTGGTTATATGAACCCCTTGTTGCAGGATATCGACCAGCAGACTACTGGCGTACCGTGTTGTTGCGGCAAAGTTCAAAGTTCAAAGGATTCGACGACGGATTCTCAGTATCGCGAGGAACAGGAATCGCTCAACACTTTGCGATCTAAACAGTCCGATTGCAAGGACGAATTTTCACAATCAAAGAACGACAGATCACTCGATGTGTTTCCGATCAGAAGGTTTAACTCTAGCGATAGTTTAACGATTTGTGAGACCGGTTCTACAAGATCCGTTAGAAAGTTTAATTCTTATGAGCATCTACAAGTTTCCGATCGCTTTATAAACAATTACAATCAGGCCAAAGTCACCGAACTAAACGACGAAGAGGACGAAGTGATAGATGAAATTAACGAGCCGGTTTTCGTGGACATACCGACATTAGTGGCCGTGCTGATTAAACCGGACGACAGCTTGCAAGAGTCATCGACGCAGATCGAGGAAATCTGCTCCGATGAGGTACAGGAAGATTCGATCGATGCCGATTTCATAGAAGGTGGCAACGAGGAGTTTGAAGAAACAGAGAAAATCGATGTCGATCCTGACGATCACAGTATCTCGGCGAATTCTTGCAACACCTTGGGCGACTCAGAGGTCGGCGAATTTCATAAGACTCCGTCGAGTCCGGCATCTGTTGGAAGAAGCGGACCAAGAGGTACGTTCAGCAAACAAAACTCGATCGATTTGCCGTCGTCGAATTTAAACGTCTCCAAGAAATTTGGTTCCATCGATGGTATTAACAAAAAGAAGGACTCATCGATCCTCGATCATCTTCAGCGATCGCACACGAATTTAGACAAGCGTCCGACACTGTCCGATCGTGGGAAAAAACTCAACAACATCCGCGAGATCGATGATCGCAAGGTGAATGCTAAATCAGGAAGCATTTGGAAAGCGATCGGTAGCGACGGCAGCAAGGATCATCTGCAGAGGAAGAGCAGTAACGAGTCTGACAAGAGCTTGAAGGATTCCAATATCGGCAAGATAGGCGGTTACAGCATCGGCAGAAAACCGAGTTTGGAGAATCTGAAGAGAAAGACTAGCAAGGATAGCAGCTCAAGTAGCTCCAAGGACGAGCAGATTCTGATTTCGAGCTTGACGCGCGACAAGCTACTACGCAGGAAGAACTCTTTAGATCAGGAAGCGGCAAACGGTGTACGACATCACACGGCGATTCAGCGAGTAAAACGCGCAGACATCGTCGCGGCAGTTACGGAGAGGCTTTACTCCAGTAGAAAGCTCACGGAAGAGAGCAATAATATGGCGACTAATAGTGTATCGGGCACTCGTTCTCCCCCGGAAGGCACCGACGTCAAGGTGTCTAGCAATCTCATGGCACGATCGAGGCTCCAGGAAATCTCGCGAAAAATGTTGATGAAGCGACGAAGAATCAACGTAGACACGCAGACGGAGACGGCATCGACGCTCCGTTTCAGGGACACGGCGTCCTTGACGGACGAGCCCAAGGTGGTTCTCCAGGATGCGGCGGTTCTCACGGAAGAGCATATGGATTATGACGTGACGACTGTAACCAATCACCGGTTGCCCGTTCTCAGAGTGAAGGATATGGCCACGTTGACAGATCGGCGACCGCACACCAGCATCTTCCGTTGCAAGGACGCCGAGAGCTTGGCCAACGATCTCGATTTCGACGACTATGAACTGCACTCGCCACGGAATGACTCCGGCATACTTTCTGATGATACGCAGAATTACGCCGAAAGCAATCTATCTAGCGCCGAAATGTCCGAGCTTTATCCAGAAGCTGACAGGAGGATACCATGCACGGACAGTTCGACTAATACGTTCCTTGCATCATCCGGCAGGAACTCGGCAGTGCAAACAGAAACCGGAAATCGAGAAGTGCCGAGTCGGCAGAAAGAGAGCTTGGAGAACAGAGGTCGCAGTCACTGTTGCGGTCTGGTTCACGAAATCGGCCAGCGCGTGCCAGTCAACAGTCCCGAGAGAAATGTCATCTCCATATCTCTACCGGATATGATCAGTATAACCATCGAAAGTACGAATGGTTTAGAGTCAAGAATTGCTGTGACGGATGGCAGTGATGCCATGGAAGAGAAGCCGCAACCCATTTCCAGTGACAAGGAATCTCAGACGGAACAGATCAAGAACGAGGCTGAAGGATCTTTCTTAAAGGATCTTACAGTAAGATCGACGGCCATTCAGGCGGACGGTAGAGTCTTCAGGATTGAAAATATCTTTCAAGATCCAAAAAGCAATAATTATCATGATGCGGCTTCTGATTTAAGGAAGGAAACCATAAAGAAGTCGATGGTTTTTAGAAACTCCCTTGGCACTTCTTCCATTATTGAAACAAAGGAAAATGATGCGAAGATGGAATGGGATATCCAGGACCTTTATCAGAAAAAACAGCCGATCTTGAAAAGTGATTTAATGAGGGCTTTTGTTGCCAAAAAACGTAGTTACAGTTTGAATCCTAGAAGACCGACAAACAGACTTGCTTGTCAAGATTTATTGAGAAATTGGACTTTTCCATGCTCAGAATTTATTGATTTTAATAGAGAGATGATAATCATGTCGCCTACTGGGCAGCAAGACACTGATACATCACTAATTGACAGCTTGCCTTCTTCTGCAGTAATCAGCGAATGTACTTCAGCCAATAAAATTTTAGAAGAGCCGATTCACGAATCATGCAAACAAGATTTCGTGAGTAGTTTCGAAGATTTGAAGGAATCTGCTTTTATAAAGGATCTGCTGGATTGTGATAATAATTTTTCGGACGACAGTCTTGACGAAGATAATATCACGAAGAGATCAATTGTCGTGAATACGATGGATACGCAGAATCTTAAGAATTACGAGAGTGTTTGTCCTCCAGATGTTGTCGCGCATACAAAGAAAGAAGCTTCAAAGTCGGCAGTTCACAAAGATTCGATTAACGTTGAATCATCGATAGATGACGATTTCGACGATACCGAGATGGAACTCCCGAAGAAAAAACCTGCCGAGGTATTGGATAAGAATCCAATGCAGGATTACAAGACGTTGATCTTAGGAACGTCGTCCTGTCTCGTGGATAATGATTCTGAAGAAGAAGCAAATATAACGGCGTCCAGTCAGTCTGATAACATTGAGAAAGGTAAGAAGAAGGTATCCTTTTCGAATCCCAGCAGTCCCGAAGAAATAACTGACATTGTGGCTAACCGCAAAATCCTGGCACCGAAGCAAAACTTAGTAGCTGTAAAATCCATTATCAAGAAGATGAAGAAGCCGGCTGTGGCCGAAAACTTGGACATCGTCCAATCGAATGTCGAAGTTGACCAATCCTTGCGGCAGAAAAAGGTAGAATCGGCGAAAAGCGAGGAAGTTCTGTCTGCATCGAAAGAAGATCAAGATTCTGAGGACTCTCGAGAATCGTTAAACGACGAGAAGAAATTCTCCGATCATAACGAATCAGACAGTAGCGTCAGCGACGAGGATACTCAAGCAATGTCGAAGAAGAAAAACATTTTTGAAGAATACTTGAATGAGGCGATGATCTTCATGCGCAACATGAACTCTATCAACGAGTACATGAGTGCCGTAAACAAACTGGAGAGCTGCGGAAAGCGTCACAGGAGACGAGGAAGCCGTCGAGGGAGCAAACCGAGTACGGATAAAGGTCACACAGAGTTCCGTGAGTGTAAAGTGAACCTAAAAGATGACACCGACGAGCACTTGCAACAGGACGAAGTTGTTGTCGTCGAGTCCTACGAGAAATGTCTGAAAGGTATCGAGAGACTGGAGGCGTGCATTGACAAAGTCAGCAAACACAACCTGATCCTTCGAGATAGATATGGCATCGAGGTCGAGTCTGCTGGCGCTAAATCGAGTTTAGCGTGTCCCAGCATAGATTCCGAGATGTCTAATGTCAAGGACAGCGTGATCCACCAATGCAATATGAGTCTTGAAAATGATGCTGAAAGTTGCGACAAGTCAAATCTTTCTAGGATTTCCTTGCCCTTTTTGTCTTCCATTCAAACCGACGTCACGAAACAGCCTACGTTAAAGGAGGCAGAACGACGAGATCAGATTAAAATCGATGATTTTGATAATAAGAATAATAATATACCGGATGACGATCTGGAGCGCAAGATTTTCGATCAATTGATGCACGCGGCCGATTTCAGCAAGTACCAAAGCCCGAGACAATTGCGACAGAAACGCCTGTGGAAAATGCGCGATCTTAGGTCCCGTAGTCCGACAACTTACTCCAAGTTACGGGAGACTTTCCGAAGGGACACTCGTGGAATCTTTAATTTCGATGAAGTTTCCGCCGCCGAAGATTATCTCGACGACATTCGCGGAATCGAGAGTAGCTCCCGGAATTTTAGGAAAACGAAACTTTCCGATCAAACAGAGAATATTGGCTCGAAAACATCGATCAGTTCTGAGATCGATCTTGAAGAATTTTGCGACCGCAACGAATTGCCGGAAGAAAATGATAATCCATTCAAAATTGAGATGCCAATCATTTTCGAGACAAAAGTAGAATATCCTGATTGTCTGATAGATCCTGCGAAGCCGATTGAACTTGGACACATGTTCAATACAGAAGAAGAAATCGCCCGAAAAATTACACAGAGATCAAAGAATACTTTAAGGCTCGAGTCAGCAAATCCCAGATTTGTAGGCTCTTTGAACATGGAATTAAAGTATCCTGGTAGTCCAAGGGCAAAATTTTTGGAGCTTTTAAAGGAGAGGAGACGAATTGTAGAAAACAGCAGAGGTACAAATGCATTTTGAGAAAATTTAACAATCATGATAAATTGTAAATCTATTTTTCACATGTATTTTGTATTTTGATTATTATCAAAGGAAAAATAATTATAATAATTGTATATTTAAGTATAAAAATGTATTGAGAGAGAAAGAAAAGAAAGAGAAAAAAATGTAAATACCGACATTATAATAATATTTGCTTCGTGCTCCCGTCACTTTATTAATCTTTTAATCATATTTAACGATCTACCTTTAACAATTGTGTTAATGACCATAATTATGCGTAAAAAGTGTTAATGGCTTTTATAGCTTGTACAAATACATGTCAATGTTTAATTTTATGTTTTTCAAATGCGTTTTCATATTCAACATATTTAAGTTTAAATCTAGGATGTTTTTTAACATTATCAAATGTTTAATAATCAATATTTAAATAATTATCATTGTTGAATATTCTAAATTGTAAGAATTTTAAAGCAAAGGCCATTAACATTTCTCATAAATAATGATTATATATTTAATTGAAATAACAATCTTGTACATAATGATAAATGATTATCTTTTCTAATAATGTAAATGTCCTCTACGAATTTTTATACAACTTCTATGGTTCTATGGTTCAAAAATACCATTAAATGTATTTGAATAATGTGTTAAGAATTATTTAGTTTGTAAAAGTTATTATAAATAAGAATTCTATAAATCTTTATAAATCTCTATAAAGCTATAATCTTTATAAAAATGTATATTCTATAAAAATCTTTGCAATTCTATAAATCTCTTTATATTATATACATATAAGCAATGTTTGCATAAGCAATACATAAAAGATCACAGTTTGCGTTAATATTCGAGGATTATTTTTCATCTCTTGTACAGTTGTAAGAATCTATAATTATAAAATAAATAAAATTAATACATATTATTCTGCTACATAATTAATACTAAATTAATATTATTCTGCTATATAAGATGACAAGCATATAACTATTGTATCGTTCACAAAAATTGTTTAATAAATACTATTTTCCGAAATAATAAAAAATTAATAATAGATTAACACTCGTTACAATAAAAAAATGGCAAAAAAATATTCTGTGATTTTTTATTTATATTATATTTCACATTTATATCATATTTCATGTTTATTAATATATATTATTATTTTATTAAAATAAAGAGAAATAATTTAGTCAAAATCTATATTAAATATATTATCAATTTATTTAATCTTTCTTCTTTTAACATTGCTAATCTTGTCCTACTCAAAATATCTATTAAATCTGTTTATAAATCCGTCATTATAATTGATACTCTTGCAAAGAGCTCTTATAAATGATGCAAATTTCCGATTAGTTTCATTCGGCAATGTACAAAGGTACATGATTCCATGAGGAAAGAAGCTCATATTTAGCATCATATAAAACGAAGGTAAATGACCGACACGGACTCCATTGCTTCAATAAAGAACTGACGCATGTGTTGCTGCTGTTGCTGCATTTCGCATGATGCTTCATATGGTGCGATTCGCGCCGGCAATCGTGATTCTAATAATATCGCTCTCTCGACGGGAGAGGAATAGCGTAGAGCAGTTTACGACTATTTTATTTTATTGCGTGATAAATCTCTAGTACGCGAAAACTCTCATCCAATTGCATGCCCATTTTTGCTGGTTTCTAATTTATATTTTTACAGGACTTCTAATTTATATTTATAAATAGATTTATTTGAGTGATAGACAATTTTTTAAATAATTTTTAGAATAAAACGATCTAATATGCTCCAGCACGGAAAATGCTCTGCTCATTACTTAGATATAATGATTTTATCAACAAGTGTTATTAAATTGAGAGTCGATAGTTAGCGTTTCATGCTACATACAAATTGTTTTCCAATGCAAACTAGAATAATTTTTACGGTTTTTAAAAACTTATCGAAAGGAGAAAAATGAAGACAGTATTAATTGATCGATTTGCGCGACTAATATTCGCACAAATTTATAAATTTATATTATTGATAAATTTCCATTTTATAGAACTATCTTGTAAAATTTCTCAATATTGTACATGAATGCATAATCACCCGATAAAAAGCGCAAAAATCATTGAACGAATTTTTTGCAGTTTCATCAAAAAGATACGGATGCTAGACTTACTCGCAGAGAGGTGTGGGAGAGGAGAGAGCTGATAATTGCATTGTCCGCGCGCGCGAAGCAGATCGCTACCTCCTTCCAGTGACGATAAAGACCGATCCATAACACACACACCATCTTGACACGTTCTGAAAATTGCCGCCACGTGCCCCGTTTTCCACGCGTCGTATTTGCCTTTGATGCTGATGCAAGCGTAACGATGCTCGTTTATGCTCGCACACATATGTAGTATGGAGATAGCGCAGCAGAAAGCTATGCAAAAAGTCATGCCGCGATCGCATGAATTTATGTGTGCCTCGAGAAAGACTTGCAGTTATTCCTATTTGCATTTCGTGAGGACAGGATTATTCGGATCATTTGTACCTATAAGCTATAATGAAGAAGCTAATGCAAACTAGAATAATTTTTACGGTTTTTAAAAACTTATCGAAAGGGGAAAAATGAAGACAGTATTATAGCTATAAGCTATAAGATTACACGCAACAAATCGTTTTTTTATGTTTTTCTTGAGGAAAAGCGAATGAAATATAATATATCGATATTTAGAACATATATATTGAGATAGTCTACGAAGTAAATTTTCAATACTATTTATAAATCAATCAGCTAACGCAATACTGCTTGTTCTCTTTCCCTCTCTCTGTCTCTTTCTCTCATATATTTTTTTCTCATTACTGTGTAATATATTCTCTTGTGCGTGAAATATTGTAATAAAAGTTTTATCGTTAAAATGTTAATGTTAAAATATTAGTTTGTTAGTGCATATAATAACCTGCGCGTATATCTCTTTCTTTTTTGACGTTACATACATACACTCTACGATATAATTTATCTTTTATATTGAAAATTCATCTATCACGACATATTTTTTTTATATGAATATAAGGAAAAAAGAAGAGAATTACGCGAAAAGGATTTTGTTCCAAACTTGTCAACGTACCTTGTCGTATGCACGAATAAGTTGAATATGATAAAGCTTTAATGTATATACATACATATATATTAATTATATATAATTATACATTTAATTAATGAAACATAAAATTAACACTTTTTTTGTCTTTTACAAATTTCTTTTATAAACATTTTATACATATAGATTTCAAAATGAATCTCTTTTTTATTTAACTGTAATGCAGAGTTTTAAGTCTGAAATACATATTTCTATATAAAAATCAAATTTATTATTAATCTCTCGAACGGAAATGATTTTATAATCATTATGTCTTATAATCCGTATAAGCAACACGAATCATGTGCTCTCACATCGCATTTCTCTATTAAAATACGCAATAAAAAAACGCGCGATTAATGTCTGAGCTTCATTGTCATCATAAAGTTACAACATAAATCCGTGAATCAGTTGGTTTTTTGAACGAAAATCCCTGGCTTTTCAATGCAACAAATTTGATATCACGATGCCTCAAATGCTTGGAGTCTCACTGCCTCGTTATTTTCTTCTCGTGATCGTTACACGCGGATATGATTAGGTTTTTTTACGTAAATTTGTTCAAGTTCGTAAAATTCGCGTTTACGAATCTGATTACGAAATACCGTCGATATTACGTTCGGATGCAGAAATGAAGTGCAGCCTGAACGGAAGTTTAACTGTGATCGATGCAACAAATCGATTTATTCGTGTCACGAGAGATGCGTAATTTTATCTAATAAATTACTTTACGCGATCATGAAATTGGTAGTAGCTCTTTTTCAACCGATAGTCACGATGATCAAATAACGTAATATAATTGGGACATAATGCAATTGTTGGTCTAATGGGGATATAATGCGATATTTGGATATCACATATATAGCTGTAATTAATTTATACGTAACATAGATAACAAAGTAATATAATTACTGTAGCATAATGTAGCTGTAATATAATGTAGTGGAAAAGTAGAATTATGTTCATTTTTGCTCTATAATGCTTTTATAATATAGATAGCTTATAAAAGAGTGACATCAAGATTGACATATGTATACCATTTTGCTTTTGTGCTCTAAGTTGCAGCTAAAAATTTAATAAAAATTTATAGGTACAAAGATTTAATAATTAAATATTATTCAGATTATGCTCTCAATTAATACTTTCTTTGGTGAATGATATTTTTTTTTAAACTAAATAAAAATTCCGATATCTGAGAAAATATTTTTTTAAAAATCGATATACTTATTGAAAACTACAGAGAAACATATATAAATTTATATAAAAATTATACAAAAAAGGCAAAAACAAAAATGGAACAAATTTTCATATTCATTTCATTACATTTATACTTTTTTAAGCTTAAATAATTATTAATAATCTTATATCACATATCATCGGAATCATGCCAACTATCAAAATATCTATAAGAAATAACATTTCATTAAAAAAAATTATTTCTATATTTTATGTATAATTTTTTATATTATAAAGTAAATAATTTTTCTTTTAAATTGTTTTATCAAATAAGATATCTCCTTTATTTAGTGTGTTAATAGTCGCTGTCACGACACATTCGATGACATATGACATTCATTGCGTATGAGCACACATATACTATACATACTATATACACAACACACACAAGTTCATCGATTCCGTAGCACCCTGTGGCGATGGTAGTAGCTCGAGAGCGAAATAGGCAAAGAGGGAAAGAGGGATGGAGGTGGCGGTCTGAATTTACAGCATTTAATATCGGCAAAATGAAGTACGACCGCGGGAGGAGAACGAGTAAGGAGGCCGCCGTTTTGCGGCATCGATAAATTCATTTTATTGCCACGGTTTGTAGGCGGGTGGTGTAACTTCGACCACCGCCTACCGATGCGATCGCGCGTATCTATCACAGTCTTCCCCAACGGATCGCTCTTTTAAACACTCGTTAATAGTCGTTTCGGATCGATGTGCACGATCG